AAGCTAGATTCAAGTGATTATTACGTTTTGAATATGGATATTTTTCTTACAAAAACGCATCGATACGCTACAGAATGCCTTTGTTCACCCCACGGAGCCGTGTGACTGTAGGCCTGTCACGATAACAACTTTTTGTTGTGCGATATATTGCAATATATTATAATATAATAAAAAAGAAGAAAGTCATATACACCTAGGATGCCTCGGGGGTGAGTAAAACCGCAGTCTAATTTTCATTTTTGGGTGAACTAACCCGTTAAGACTGGTTTTGTGCTCCAGGGTCACAATTATCATGCTCTCCCTTTATCTATTGCTTGTTTGAGTGATGTGCTCATTCATTTGGTGAATTTCAAAAGAAACTTGCTTATGTTAAAGACAGTTATGTTGCTTCTGTTATGCAAAAACTGTTTTGCATAATGAAAATACTCGCATTGAATTCATTCAGTCATGTCAAACAATCACTAAGATTTTGGCTACACTGTGTGCCTGCTCAAAATGCTACTAAAAACCCTGCCTTAGATGATAAAAGTATTTTTAGAAATCCTTAATCTTATATTTTAGAAAATAGATTATTTTCCCCACACTGTTTTCAAATTCCATACTTTTCCATACTGCATAGGAAGCCTAATGTTTTGATGACTGATTACAAAAAGAGAGCAAACAAAATGAAATGTAAACTCACCGTCCTTTTCTGTGCTTGCTGTGGATGATCCATGTATGATGATGAGTTTGCTGTTGTGTTCTCTGCGCACAGTCACTCTACTGGCTCTGAAACACACGCATATACATTCTCATGGCAGAACGTATACATGATGAGAGACAATGAGAGAAGGCGGAAAAAGTCGAGCTCACCTGCAATTCGGACATTTCCTCGGGCCCATGTATACTCTCCAGAAACTGTTAATGAGACTGGACTTTTTCTCACAGATATGTTTGATCTGAAATCAAAGCACATTTATAAAATGCAATTAGAAAGTGCACAGGGACAATAATATGACTAAAGTAAAAGATGTCAAAGACAAAACAGGTGAGACGGATGAGTTTCAGACTCACAGGGGCAGTGTGCTGCTTGTCGTCACTGGCTTTAAGAATGGGTGTAATGAACGCCTCCAGAGCTTCTTGGATTTCTATTCCAGACGGCTTAGCATTGACCTCCACCAACTTGCAGAGGATGACAAAAACGCAATATATAAGCACTTCAGTCCAATGAATGATGCTTCTCTCTACAAGATAAATTGCTATGACCTAAATGAGAATAGCTCTTCAATATTTTCTGACCTGACTGAGAACGTTCTCAAGCTCATACACCTCCTTCATCGCACCCACGTCCAGGAGCTTCAGCTGGCCCAGCAGTAAATGAACAGCCGCTCTGGGACACTTCAACATATGGCATCCCAGGCATGAACCCCGGATGAGCAAATATAATTTCTGTAAAGACATTGACTTAAGGGATTACACTATATATAGTTTATATATAGGTTTCTTCAAGCGTCTTGGAGATGTTGCCACAGTTCTTCTGGATTTAGTCTGTCTCAGTTTTTTCCTGTTTCTTCATGTCATTCCAGACAGACTGGATGATGCTGAGATCAGATCTCTGCGTGGAGCACTGGCTGCTGTCAAATTCCTTGTGCATACAAAAATCTCACTGGATTATTACAATAGGTTGTTTGCAATCACGTGATTCTGATGACGCGCGAAATGCAGCCGGAGGGCAGGAAGTGATTTTTCTCTCCATAGAAATCACTAGCAGAAACTCCAAATGCCTGTGTTTTGCGTTGTTTATGGATGCTCAAAAATACCTTTCTCTTGTAATAGCGTGGTGGTTGAAGAGAGATCCCCTCATGATTGTAAAGCGCGTTGGGTGTACAGCAACACAATGAAAGCGCTATAAAAAAAATGCCTCATGCCAAAAAAAAGTACAGTACGGACTTTCCTCCATCTCATCCGTTCTGCTTTGTTTGTCACTCCTGAAACTTTGCTGCATGAACGGTATGTTCCTGTTGGTCCTGTTAGCAGCACGTAAAACAAAACTTTGATTCAAATTCTGAATTGATTATAGCCTAGAAAGCGAGCAAATAGCGCTTACATATAATCACTAAAAAGCTGTTACTCACTTCAATTTATCGCAACCTCACGATGTTCCTTTATAATCAGTGAAGCTTTCTGAACTGCAAATAATATCTTATTTACATCGTGTCTACGTGTGGCATTTAGCACTGAGTGAATTCTGAATGCATGAGAGGTGGCAGCCCAATCTATTTATATCTTTATTAATATCTTAATATATTATTATATCTTATATTAACCATTTGCACACACGAGCATTATCCGGCTCCGCTCCTCCCGACCGCAGACGCAGGTTTACAAGCCACTTTTTCCTGTGTTTTTCAACCAATTTCTTGACTTTTCCCCACTCACGAACAACACATTTTCGTACACGATAAAAGCTCCTTGTGGTTTCTCGGTTTGGTCGATTTGAGCATCCATAAACAACGCAAAACACAGGCATTTGGAGTTTCTGCTAGTGATTTCTATGGAGAGAAAAATCACTTCCTGCCCTCCGGCTGCATTTCGCCGTCATCAGTGACGTCATGTGCAAACAACCTATTAATGGCAAAAGGAATGTTTGGAAGTGTAAACTGATATTTCCTACTGACACACTACAGCAAAAGATAGAAATAACTGACTTAAAAACATTTTTAGTTGTTGAAAATACTAGTAGCCTAAGACTTTTGCACAGTACTGTGTATATATAGTCCTACAGGTAACAACAGAAATAGAAAGACAGACTATTAACCCCAGATAAACACATAACATAACTGCATGAAACCTGCAAAGGAAGACATGCAACTGCACGATGACACTTACATCAAAAAACATAGGGTTGTAGACGGGAAGGGGCAGATCTACGAGACCAAAGTGGCCAGGACAGCTGGTGTAGTCTTGCATGCAGGTGGAGCAGATCTCCTTGTTATCAGCTGGACCCAGCGCCAGGTCATACAGCCCGTTAGCGGCGGCATTGCCCACATTATCCAACAGCTGGGAATTAGTGATACTTTTCACGCTCAGCTTCCTGTGACACAGATAACACGGGGAACTTGTCAGGAGGTCTATATATCAAAATAAGTATTCTTGTTTTACTGCTTACGCTTCACTCAAACGTAACGAAATACTTAAAACAGACATGTTGTGGCAAACACTGTCCAAACGTGACAACTTACCGCATTTAGTGTGACAGCATATGGGGCACGTTGCCACAAAGTTCAACATGTGTTAAATTAACTCTATGTTTTTAACAGGTATTAACGATGGGTGTCTTTACAGTAATACACAACTGAGCTCCGGCTAGTTTTTTAGCTGTGTTGGGTATGAGTGGTGCAAGCGTATTATTACCTTATTTCATCGGCGGAGAACAAGCCAAACGACATGCCCTCTAATCGCCTCCATGGTGTTTCTTTTGAAAACAGCATTTTCCAAAAAATAAATACATAAATCAGAAGAGAAATCTCTCTGTATTCCCCGCGTGCGTCATGTGGCGCTGTAGCGCGTGGGAACGTGTCCTGAGCGAGCGGACGAGACCAAATAACACGCAGCTACATTAGGCTTCAATACCTACAAACGCGAGAGAAGTAGGGACGTCGGCATTTAAAACAATAGCAGATAATAATTATGAGCTAGTAAACTATAAAACCTGAAAATGAATATTCTATGGGGCCGTATGAAGAATAGTTTATTTATATTGTTTGTTGAGATCGGTTGAGATGGTATATCCCGACCGTAGAAAACGAATGAATGGTAGAATGGAAATTAATTCGCAACTGAGTAAAAATAATAGTTATTCTTTTTTAAAACTCTTCGATTTTTTTTATTTTAATCCAATTAGTTATTAAACTTTCTGCGTCATTATCTAGACGTAAATTATTGTCTTGACCGTTGAAATAATAAAAAAGTAGTATTGCTGCACTCCTGCCATGATGACAACACGTGACAACAAATGGTACATTTGTTGTAGCTCTCAGAAAATTCCCAGTTCACTAGTTGTAATTACGTGAACGCTTTTTACAAGTTTGTTTCTCCTAAGGCGTGAACACACCTTCTGTAGAGGGTTTGGTCACATGACAGGTGTGACCTCTCTCAGCGCTACACAGGATGGACCAATCACAGCTGACTGCGGTGGTGCCGCGCTCTTCTCTGCTTCCTAGCGCTAGTGAAGTGAAGCGCCGCCGGATGAGTTTCGAGCACGCACTTCGGTGTCATGGCGTCCTCCTGCTCGCAAGCTCTCAAGCAGCATGTGTGTAAGAGCAGCACAATACTGCGCGTTCACCTGCAGAAGTCATGGCCTAAGAGGTAAGATAAAAGCACAAGGACAGGCTTATTGGGCCCGTTTTATTAAATGACATTTTCTGTCATTTTCATGTATGTGAAGAAGAAACGACTGGTTGTCTGTAGGTCATTTCAAGGGGCTGTATGTGTCCGCTCAAGTGTTATCAGGCGCATGAAAACCTCATTATCTGGTTTGTTTACAGGAGTTTTGTTCTGAATTCTGCTGCAGATCAACAGCCTGCCGTTTCTTCACCAGGTCTGGCAGTTATGTCTTTTTATTAGGAATATTCATATGCTTTATTGTCGTTGTTGTTGTATTGTTCATATGTCGTTTCTTTTTTCTTTATTTGTATTTTTTGTTTTTTCAGAAGAAATAGTAATTCCAAAGAAGAAAACATGGTACTGGTCAGATCTGAACACATGGTTTATAACTCATAAATTCACATGATCAGTGAATATATAGATTTCTAAAATCATTCTATTAATTTCTATTCATTATTTAATCATTTATGCATTAACAATTAATTAATTGTTGCTGTTATCAGGAGTAAAGAGGCTGTTTTACAGGCACTGGCATCCACTGTGAGCAGGGTATGTTCATCAGACAACTCTAACAAGCATGTTAAAATGCATTGTTATCTAATATCATGTAATCATAGTAACTGTGTGTGCATGTGTCTGTTCTAGGATCCTACAGCCTCAGATTACAGGTTACAGGATGATCCGTATCTCACTCCAAAAACATCATCAGAGTTTGTGAGTTTTGGCTATCGAACCATTTCGGGTTTTCAGTTTACACTATTAGAGAGGTTCAGGATCGGCGCTTGTTATGGTAGCTGCCATTTTTAAGACCAGTAAAGACATACCATTTCTACAAACATATGATTTCTCAGTTTAAACTGAATTTTCTTTCAGTTTAAATAATTTCTTCATCTGTGAGTATACCATTTGAGCTTCCCGAATGGCACAACACAGCAGCACTGGCTGGACTATCAGTTGAAAAATGATTATTTCATGAAGCTACTGCATCAGAAAGCACACACTTTACATGAATAAAATGAATGTTTATTTAAACATTGAAATAATGAATGTGTTTGTGTCATAATTTGAAGTTAGATGCACATTACATGAAAACACTTCTAATACTAACTTATTTTTCTTCTGCACAGAAATTATTTTCCTTGTCCCAGGAATCAGGCAAAAATGCTGCCAAATATTTCATCAATACATACCCGAAATACTTCCAGAAAGACTATGCTCAGCCTCATATTCCTGTGAGTGTCCAGTATTTGTGTCTCATGGTTTGATTTGCTTATGAGGGCTTGTGCTTATGAATGTTACTTCTGTTGGAAGTGTTTGATGCCGGAAACTCTTGAGGCTCAGATCGAGGAGGTGTCTGAAGCTGCTCTCATAGAGAGAATTCACATGAGGAAAGTCAAAGCTGCTGTGGATCTGTACGACCAACTGCAGCAGGCCGGTAAGAACGAGCAAGACGAGCCGTCGCATGTAATACTATGACAAATGTACATTGTGTTTAACTGTGTAACTGAATGACGAATGAGTGTATTCTGTGCAGGTACACCAGTGTCATTGGATGTGACCAATCAGTTGTTAGATCTGATTTGTTTCTATGGAGATAGTGATCCCGCACAAGAGAATGTTCCGGAACAGAGGAATGAGGAGACGGTAGGGCCGGTCACACCATAAAACAATGGTCAGGATACTCTTGCTTTAGTGCAGTGGCTCCCAACCACGTTCCTGATACTGCTTCATTTTATCATACATTTTATACTTCATTTTATAATGACCAATAAGTCACCTGAAATGCGTTTTTGGTGAATTTTTTTGCTTGTTTGTTTGTAAACTCCATCTTATGCTCTTATCCATGGTAAAACCACAGGAGGATGTCCAGGATGAACCGCAGACTAAAAAAGGAAGAGCATCTAAAGCCAGTGATCAGCTGAAGGCTGCTTGGAAGTGAGTTCTTACAGAATGTGGGAAACAGACATTTTTTGTTTACAATCAAAATTTTAGAATAATTAAGTTTTTTTTTTTTTAATGTATTTGAAAGAAGTTTGTGAAAATTATTACAATTTAATATAACTGTTTACTATTGTAATGTATGTTCAAATGTAATTTATTCCTGTGATGCAAAGCTGAATTTTCATCAGCATCATTACTCCAATCTTCAGTGTCACATGATCCTTCAGAAATCATTCTATTGTACTGCTTTGCTGCTCAAGAAAGATTTCTTCTTATTATTATTATTATCATTGTTGAAAACCCACTTTGGAATGGTAGTGTAAGATTAAAAAATATATATACATTTATCTAACAAGGACACATTAAATTGATCAAAAGTGAAAGTAAAGACGTTTATAATGTTACAAAAGGTTTAGGGCTGCCACTAATGACTATTTTTATTTTGATTAATTTAAATATAATAAATATAATAATAATAATAGTCTGAGAAAGTCAGCATGTTCTTAATGTCAATATATCCACATGTTCTGGGCTTCTGTTCATTACAGCTGTGAGTGCAACTACAAAGGGAAAAAAATATCTGTTTCAATTAACCCCAACAGTTGGGTTTTCACATTAAATAAATGCTATGTTTAGAGTCCACTAGAATCAAGTATTAAAATGTTATTATTATTAAAAATGGTCAAGTATTAAAAGTACTCTTAGAAATGTGTAAACAACAGATTTAAACAGACATCTCCAGCATGATGAAAAAAATGAACAGAAGACTTCAGTAGTGAAACTCCAAATGAAATCCATATTTCTATCAAATCCTTTTTTAAAGCAAAAGTAAAGTGCAACATAGAGTGCAATGAGGCAATAATAATTAGTTCAAATAAAGTATCAAAAGCAAGAAATCATATGGTTTTATTGAACAAAACTGTTAAAATATTGTATTATAATGTAATAGAGCCACTGATCTATATATAATTATAAAATATAATATAATCTCTATTATAGATAAGTGATTAGAGCTAATGTACATTACGCATTACAACAAAGGCCTGCAGAGGGCGCCAACGGCCTGACGATTGTTTTTACACATTACTGTGCGATCTAATACTTGTTTAATATTGACCAAGCACCATTTCATTCAAATGTCCACTTAATCTTTAGTATTTGGCCATTTCTTTAGGACAGAAATGCTATAGCCACTGTAATTTAATGAATATGTGGACATCAAAACGTGTAAACTCCGAGTGAGGGTTTGAGATTTTATTTTGAAACCGCGAGATAATGATGTATTCTTCTGTGTTTGCGTAGATTTATAAATGATTTACCTTACAAGTCTGATGAAATGGCGCACGCTGCGTTCCCAGATGAACGTTATAATGAACCCAAATTCACAACAACATGCAGAGATGGAGTTTGAGCCGCTCCACACAGGTAAATGATAACCGTTCCTGTGAACGGAGCCGCTGTGTGACGCGTGTACTTAACCTACACGCCTATAACTGCATCACATAATTGTTTAATTAAATCATAACGTTTGTGATTTACGCTTAATTATAATTTTTAAGCAGGTTTAATATATCATGAGACCTTGGAAAACAGTCTAATAATGTGTTTTATTTATTCTCGTCCGTGAAATGCGGCACTTCCGGTATTTTGCGTTAGTCGACGCGAGCAAAATGAAGTCGAGGATTTGTTTTTTATTGAATAGTCGAATAGAATCGACGAATCGCGACAGCCCTAAAAAGGTTTTGTTTAAAATAAATGCTATTCTTTTAAACTTTTAATTAATCAAAGAATCTTGAATTAAAAATGTATCACTTTTCCCACAAAAACATTAATAATGGTGTGTTCACACCAGACGCGAAGCGAATATACGCATCGCGCCACTCGCGCTAGATTACTCGCGGCATGTTTTTCGTGTCACTCGCGCGAATAAAAACAGCGCGATCAACCATGCTGGAGATAACTACAATCGCTGTTTTGTACCTGTTGTCAAAAAGTCCCAAATACAATGGAAAGCCAAACGCCGACGTGTCTGGCTTCACAGCACCATCCAGAGGATGAATAACGTTAGGATCCTGTATTAATGTGTGTGTTACATTTTACTACTGTATATATACACTGATATTACTATTATTTTTATTATTGATAGCAGCATCTCTGTAGCCATGCTAATAAAATACAACTGATTTTAATTGTTTTCTATGCTCCAGACCTATATAATAACAGACGGCTGCAATAATGCTCTCTTCTATTGTCTGATTCAACCAGACGTGCCTATAAGCTCTTCGCTGATTGGCTTGCGCGAGAACGCGTCAGGCGAATTTTCCGCTCAAGTTGAGATTTTTGAACTTGCGCGAAAGACGCAATTGAGGCGAATATCTCGCGTTCGCGGC